GGAGGTTGTGTGAAGGTTGTGTGAGAGGTTGTGTGAGAGTTGTGTGGTAGTTTTGTGGAGGATTGTGAGGAGTTGATGTGAGAGGTTAGGAGTTGTGAGAGGTTGTGTGAGAGGTTGTGGGTAGGTTGTGAGGGAGGTTGTGTGGAGAGGTTGTGTGAAAGTTGTGTGGTAGGTTGTGTGGTAATGTGTGAGGAGGTTTGTGTGAGAGGTTGTGTGGTACGTTGTGAGGGAGGTTTGTGAGAGGTTGTGTGTGTAGTAGGTTGTGTGGTAGGATGTGAGGAGTTGTGTGGTAGGTTTATGGAGGTTGTGTGATAGGTTGTGTAGAGTTTGTGGGAGGTTGTGTGGTAGGTTGTGTGGGGGTGTGAGGGAGGTTGTGTGAGAGGTTGTGTGAGAGGTTGTGAGGAGGTTGTGTGTAGGTTGTGTGAAGTTGTGTGAGAGGTTGTGTGAGAGGTTGTGTGAGAGGTTGTGGTAGCTTGTGTAGGTTGTGTGGGGGTGGTTGGTGTGAGGAGGTTGTGTGAGGAGTTGCTGAGGGAGGTTTTGTGAGTAGGTTTGTGAAGGTTGTGTGTAGTTGTTGAGGTAGGTTTGTAGAGAGGTTGTGGTAGGTTGTGTGGGAGTATGTGAGGAGGTTTGAAGTAACAGGTGTAACGTTAATGAAGTTCTTGTAGGTTTTGAAATTGTTAGAGGTTATTTAAGTCTGTTGAGAGTTGTGTGGCTATATGTGTGGTATTGTGTGGAGTATTCTGGTAGGTTGTGCATACTGCTAGTATACGTGTGTAATCTGTGATGTAGTCTGCTAGATTTGTACATGGTGTCAGTGTATCTGCTAGGTGACATGGTTGTGTCAGTATATGCTAAGTGATTGGGTGTCAGTATATGCAGTGAAGTTGTGTGTAGTTTATGTAGCAGGGTGAAATGGTTGTAGATACTGCTAGGTGAACTGGGTTGTATGTAAGCTTAGGTGAACATTGTGTGGTAGTTATGTGGAAATGGGTAGTTAGTGTATGCTTAGGTGAAGGTTGTTAAGTTTGTATGGAGGACTTGGTCAGTGTTAGAGGTTGTGAACAGGTTGTGTGAATAGTTGTGTGGAAATTGTGTGGTAGTTGTGTGGGAGGTATGATGGTAGTTGATGGCTTGTTTTAAGGTTGTGTAAGGTTGTTAGGTATGGTTGTGTAAGTTGTGAAGGTAGTGTACTTGAGGGAGGATGGTGAGGTTTGTGAGAATTGGTGGTAGTGTAGGTAAGTTGAATTGGGGGTTAGTAGTTAGTGTAGGTTTGAAGTGGTTGAGATGTCTGTGAATGTATAGAGGTTTGTGGTGTTGGTGGAGTGATGTAGGGAAATGTTTTAGTTTGTAAGGTTTATGGGTTGTACGGTAGTTGGTGAAAGTGTTTGAGTGTAGTTGTGTGGTGATGTACTGTGTGAAATTGTGTGGTACTTGTGGGTAAGATGTGTGGTAGTTTGTGTTGTGGGGAATTGGAGTTGTTGAAGTTGTTGAGAGATTGTGAGTAGGTTGTTGAAAGTGTTAGAGGTTGTGTGTGTTTAGGAGTTGTGTAGAGTGATGTGAGAAGTTAGTGTAGTTGTGAAAATTGTGTGTGTTATAGCTTGTGTAATGTTTTAGTTAGTGGTTAATGGTGTTAGTGTAAATGTTAGGTTGTAGGGAGGTTGTTAGAGTTGTGTATTGGTTTGAGGAGGTGTGAAGGTTGGTAGAGGTTGTGGTAGGTTTGAATTGTGTGAGAGGTTGGTGTAGGTTGTAGGAGTTGTGGGAGTTATTGAGAGGTTCTGTGTGATAGGGTTGAGAGACTTGTAAGGAGGTTTGTGTATAGCTTTAGTTTGAAAGTTTTTAGAGTTTGTGTGAGGTTTGAGGAGTTTTTGAGAGTTTGTGAGAGGTTGTGTGGCTTGGTTTGGGGGTTGTGAGGGAGGTTGCTGAGGGAGGTTGTGTGAGAGGTTGTGGAGAGGTTGTGTCGGTAGGTTGTGTAAGTTGTGTGAAGTTGTGTGAGAGTGTGTGAGAGTTGTGTAAAACTTGTGTGGTAGGTTGTGGAGGTTTGTGTGGTAGTTGAGGGGTTGTGAGGAGTGTTGGAGGGAGTGTGAGGGAGGTTGTGAGGAGTTAAGAATAACAAATAAACAACAAGTTTTTCTTAATTATTAATCCCAGGAGATAATAACTTAGGATAACCCGTAACCTTAGTGCTTAGTCCCGCGTTCTTAAGTATCCACCACCAGGGTGCACTCTGCTAGGTATACTGCTGTGTAACATGGTAGCAGTGTACTCTAGATGAACATGGGTGTCAGTAACGCTAGGTGAACATGGTGTCAGTATACTGCTAGGTGAACATGGGTGTCAGTATACTGCTAGGTGAACATGGGTGTCAGTATACTGCTAGGTGAACATGGGTGTCAGTGTACTGCTAGGTGAACATGGGTGTCAGTGTACTGCTGGGTGAACATGGTGTCAGTAGTACTGCTAGGTGAACATGGGTGTCAGTATACTGCTAGGTGAACATGGGTGTCAGTGTACTACTAGTGTGAACATGGGTCGTCGAAGTAGTTACTGCTAGGTGAACATGGGTGTCAGTATACTGCTAGGTGAACATGGGTGTCAGTATACTGCTAGGTGAACATGGGTGTCAGTGTACTGCTAGGTGAACATGGGTGTCAGTATACTGCTAGGTGAACATGGGTGTCAGTGTACTGCTGGGTGAACATGGGTGTCAGTGTACTGCTGGGTGAACATGGGTGTCAGTGTACTGCTGGGTGAACATGGGTGTCAGTATACTGCTAGGTGAACATGGGTGTCAGTGTACTTCTAGGTGAGCATGGGTGTCAGTGTACTGCTAGGTGAACATGGGTGTCAGTGTACTGCTAGGTGAACATGGGTGTCAGTATACTGTTAGGTCAACATGGGTGTCAGTGTACTGCTAGGTGAACATGGGTGTCAGTGTACAGCTAGGTGAACATGGGTGTCAGTGTACTGCTGGGTGAACATGGATGTCAGTATACTGCTAGGTGAACATGGGTGTCAGTGTACTGCTGGGTGAACATGGGTGTCAGTATACTGCTAGGTGAACATGGGTGTCAGTATACTGCTAGGTGAACAAGGGTGTCAGTGTACTGCTGGGTGAACATGGGTGTCAGTATACTGCTAGGTGAACATGGGTGTCAGTATACTGCTAGGTAAACATGGGTGTCAGTATACTGCTAGGTGAACAATGGTGTCAGTGTACTGCTGGGTGAACATGGGTGTCAGTGTACTGCTAGGTGAACATGGGTGTCAGTATACTGCTAGGTGAACATGGGTGTCAGTATACTGCTAGGTGAACAATGGTGTCAGTGTACTGCTGGGTGAACATGGGTGTCAGTGTACTGCTGGGTGAACATGTTTGTCAGTGTACTGCTAGGTGAACATGGGTGTCAGTATACTGCTAGGTGAACATGGGTGTCAGTATACTGCTAGGTGAACAATGGTGTCAGTGTACTGCTAGGTGAACATGGGTGTCAGTGTACTGCTAGGTGAACATGGGTGTCAGTGTACTGCTGGGTGAACATGGGTGTCAGTGTACTGCTAGGTGAACATGGGTGTCAGTGTACTGCTGGGTGAACATGGGTGTCAGTGTACTGCTAGGTGAACATGGGATCAGTATACTGCTGGGTGAACATGGTGTCAGTGTACTGCTGGGTGAACATGGGTATCAGTGTACTGCTGGGTGAACATGGGTGTCAGTGTACTGCTAGGTGAACATGGGTCAGTATACTGCTAGGGGTGAACTGGGTTGTCAGTGTACTGCTAGGTGAACATGGGTGTCAGTGTACTGCTAGGTGAACATGGGGTCAGTGTACTGGTAGGTGAACATGGTGTCAGTATACTGCTGGTGAACATGGGTGATCAGTGTACTGCTAGGTGAACATGGGTGTCAGTATACTGCTAGGTGAACATGGGTGTCAGTGTACTGGGTAGGTGAACATGGTACAGTGTACTCTAGGTGAACATGGGTATCAGTGTACTGCTAGGTGAACATGGGTGTCAGTATACTGCTAGGTGAACATGGGTTCAGTGTACTGCTAGGTGAACATGGGTGTCAGTGTACTGCTAGTGAACATGGGAGTCAGTGTACTGCTGGTGAACATGGGCAGTGTCTGCTTAGTAAACATGTGTCATACTACGCTCGTGAACATGGGTCAGTATACTGCTGGTGAACATTGTGCCAGTGTACTGCTGGTCAACATGGAGTCAGTGTACTGGAGGTGAACATGGGCAGTAGTGTTGCTGGTGACATGGGCACAGTGTTCAGCTAGGTGAACATGGGCACATGTACTCTAGGTGAACTTGTCAGTGTACTGCTAGGTCAACATGGGTGTCAGTATACTGCTGGGTCAACATGGGTGTCAGTGTACTTGTAGGTGAACATGGGTACCAGTGTACTACTGGGTGAACGTGGGTGTCAGTATACTGCTGGGTGAACGTGGGCATCAGTGTACTGCTGGGTGAACAGGGTACATGTACTGCTGGGTGAACATGGATACCATGACTGCTGGTAACATGGGCAGCAGTGTACTGGTAGGTGAACATGGGTACCAGTGTACTGCTGGGTGAACATGGGCAGCAGTGTACTGCTAGATGAACATGGATACCAGTGTACTGCTGGGTGAACATGGGTGTCAGTGTACTGCTGGGTGAACATGGGCAGCAGTGTACTGGTAGGTGAACATGGGTACCAGTGTACTGCTGGGTGAACATGGGTATCAGTGTACTGCTAGGTAAACATGGGTATCAGTGTTCTGCTGGGTGAACATGGGTATCAGTGTACTGCTAGGTGAACATGGGTACCAGTGTACTGCTGGGTGAACATGGGTATCAGTGTACTGCTAGGTAAACATGGGTATCAGTGTTCTGCTGGGTGAACATGGGCATCAGTGTACTGCTAGGTGAACATGGGCAGAAGTGTACTGCTAGGTGAACATGGGCAGCAGTGTACTGCTGGGCGAACATGGGCAGCAGGTGTTTTGAGACATACCCATTTGTCTCACCCCGGCCGGAATTGAACCCAGGCCCCTTTCTGTTGTGAGACTTTTTATCAGAGAGGTAGAAGGTGGCTGCACTGAGTCAGTATGGCTGGCAGTAACATCGTCTCCCGTCTTGTGTTTTGGACGGTAAGAAGCAAGAAAAAGAGAGGAAATAATGTTAATTGGTTGTGGTGGTTGGGGATCCTGGGCCTACAAGATGGTGGGTTGGTTGCTTGTGTTCAGGGGTGGTCGCTGACTACACTCACTAACATTACTCGACCCCCTGCACTCTTTCCCTGTAATATCTGCCAGTGGCTATCACTCTGCTTGCAGATTTTCATGTTATGGTGAGGTGAGTGTGTGTGTGTGCGTGTGCATGTGATGCAGGGATCGTGTTGGTCAACATTTTATCCAGCAAACGGTATAGACGCAACAGTGGACCAGACATTCCCAAATTCCAGAGGAGGGTGGCATGGAGGCTGCCAGGCGGGCGGGCAGCCTGGCCGCCAGCTCGGCCCGGCCGCCTGGCAGCCTCGCGATTGGCCAGGGCGCGACTGCCCCGCCTCCTGCTTGCTGGCCGGGGCTCGGGTCCGCGCCGCCCCCAGTTCTTCTTACGAGGTGGTGAGGTGAGGGAGTCCGCGCAGCCCTGCCCTAGGATCAGTCAGTGTTGTAGTGTGAAGTGATGATGTGTTGTGGTGGTGAGTGTGGGCGGGGTGTAGCGTGACCATGAGCGGTGTCACACCGCGGCAGTGTGCAGGGGGTGACTCGCAGGGCGGCCACCGGCACTGCCCGCTCTGCCGACCATGACCATGCAGGCCGCCATCATGCTCAGACTAGTGTTAGTGTTAGTGCTACAGTGCCTGTTGACTAATGGGCAAGGGCCAGGGCCAGGGCCTGGGTCTGATGGGGTCTTGGAAGGAGGGCTGGACAAGATGCAATCACGAGCTGTGGATACGCGTGTCAAATTCTCCGTGATGGAGGGCCATCCAGCCAATACCTTCGTGGGTGTCATCCCCCTCAAGCCTGGCTTCACTTATCGCTTCAATGAGGCGCCCAGAGAGTTCACCCTCAATGGTACCACTGGGGAGATACGCACCACTGGCGTGTTGGACCGAGAGGCTCTCGACACAGACCGCTTTGATCTGGTGGTATTGTCGTCCCAACCTACCTACCCTATCGAAGTTCGCATCAACGTAATCGACATCAACGACAATTCGCCTAGGTTTCCAGAGGCGTCGATCCATGTCACCTTTTCTGAGAGTGCCAACGCTGGCACCAGAGTCATCCTCGACACCGCTACTGACGGAGACGCTGGCGACAACGACATTACCACTGATTACAAGATCGTCGACGGTAACGAGGATGGCAAGTTCAAGCTTCAGGTTACCATAAATCCTTCAGGAGAGACTCCCTACTTACACCTGGAGACCACGGGCAAGCTGGACCGGGAGACACGGGCCAGCTATCAACTTAATATTTCCGCACAAGACGGAGGTACTCCGCCTAGGTTCGGATTTTTACTAGTCAACGTGTCCATCCTAGATGTGAATGACAACCCTCCCATCTTTGACCACAGTGATTACATAGTATCCCTGAACGAGTCTGTGCCTCCTGGCACGTCGGTGCTACAGGTCCAGGCGACGGACAACGACGTGGGGGAAAATGCACGTCTCACGTATTATTTGTCGGAGACGGAGACGCAGTTCACGGTGGACCCGGAGACCGGCATCATCAGCACCATGGAGCCCCTCAGCTGTCATCAGAATTGTCAGCAGTTACAACCATGTCCGAAGAGTTGTGTGTTTACAGTGTTCGCTAGAGATCATGGCTCGCCGCTGCAAGATGGCCGTACTTACGTCACCGTTAACCTGCTGGATGCCAATGACCACGACCCCGTCGTCAGTTTCAGGTACTTCCCCACCACAGCTGACTTTGCAACCGTCGACGAAAATGCTCAGAACGGGTCCGTGGTCGCTGCTGTCTCCGTCATAGACGCTGACGAAGGCCCAAACGGGGAAACTACAGTAGAGATACGAGCTGGTAACGAACTTAATCACTTTAGGCTTGATTCAAAATCAGGTTTCGACATAGTGCGTGTGAATGGTGTCTTAGATCGTGAAAAAATTAGTAAATATAACGTGACTATTGTAGCTACAGATAAGGGAACGCCACCAAGGTCCTCAACAGCTTTTCTCATTATTCACGTGAATGACATTAATGACCATGAACCAGTGTTTGAAAAGAGTGAATATTCTGCGGTTCTGAGTGAACTTGTTCCTATTGGCACTTATGTGGCTGGCATCACCGCTAACGATGAGGACACTGGTGTTAACTCTAACATATATTATGCTATCGTGTCTGGTAATGATAACCAGTGGTTTGATATCGACTTACAAAGTGGCCTCATCACCACCAAGGCACCGCTCGACCGCGAGGTGAAGGACTCAATCGACCTCAAGATCTCTGCTCGTGATGGTGGTCCCAACCCAAAGTGGGCGTATACTCATCTTAAAATATCAATTCTGGATGAAAACGACGAGAAACCGACCTTCTCACAGGAGCGGATCAACGTGAGTCTGTCTGAGAACACTCCACCTGACACCTTGGTCACACTGGTTTTGGCCGTTGACCATGATCAAGGGACGAATGGCAGCGTCTCCTACATGTTCGACCAAGACGTCGAACATAATTATCCTGGGATATTCGCTCTTGACGTATCATCGGGTCGACTCACCACCAAGACGAAGTTAGATCGAGAGGCAATGCCCCAGTATGAAATTAAGGTTGTAGCTAAGGATCAGGGTATTCCTCCACTGTCATCTACCGCAACCGTTGTACTCGACGTGCAAGATGTCAACGACAACAGTCCAGAATTTTACCCACAGAAGTACTTTGTGGTGGTGCCTGAAGACCTGCCTCTTGGGTCGTCCATCCTGCAGGTTTCAGCGACAGATAAGGATATTGGAGAGAACGCTGTTACCACTTATGAAATCAATATCGGGGAGGACAATGATAACACTTTTGAGATAGATCGAGAGACAGGTGTGTTAAGCTTAAGTGGTCGTCTAAGCCACATCAGAAAAGCGCAGTATCGCTTAACAGTAGCTGCAAGAGACACCGGGGATCGTAAGGCAGTGGAGGATGCTACTGTTGACATTGTGGTGGAAAGTAACCAAATAGAACTGTTGGAGTTTGAGCAGAGTGAAGGCTACAGATTTTCTCTTCCAGAAGATGTTGGTAAAAAAGAGCCGACCGTTGGTCGAAAGGTGGGCGTTGTGAGTGTACTGAATCCAGCTTCTGTCGGAGAGGTCAGTTATGCTATTATCGCCGGCGACCCTGACAAGGTATTTTCCATCGATGAGAGAACTGGTGTTATAAGTACAGCGAGAAGAATTGACCGTGAACAAGCAGCTTATTACCACCTCCGGACGGTAGCAACGACCTCCTCGGCCTATGGACGAACTTGGGTGAATGTAACTGTGGAAGACGTGAACGATAACCCGCCCAAGTTCCCAATAACTAGAGCTTACGCTACAGTGGCTGAGAACTGGCCTGTGGGACACCAAGTTTATCTAGCTCGTGCTTACGATACTGATTATGGGGAAAATAGTAAAATAACTTACAATCTTTCAAATAATCCCGATGATTATTTTACAATTTCTAGAACGAGTGGCATGATCTACCTAAACAAGCCTGTTAAATATAGCAAAACAAGCAATTTTCGACTTGAGGTGGCGGCGTCAGATGCTGGGACTCCATCACTGACGTCTCGCCAGATCGTCACCATCTCGGTAGAAGACGTCAACGATCATACGCCAATCTTCGAACATGGATCATACGAGACATCGTTGCTGGAGTCCACGCCAGTAAACGACAGATTCTTCGCCCTCACTGCTTCCGACGAAGATGATGGCATGAACGGCTTTGTTTCTTACGATATAACTGAAGGTAACGAAGAACGTAAGTTCGGCATCTTTCCTGATGGTTATCTCTACGTGAAAAGTTCCCTGGATCGCGAGGCTCAGGACTATTTTGCTCTGACCATTGTTGCCAGAGATCACGGCACTCCACCTCGATCCTCCACTGTGTCTGTCGTCATTCACGTTATTGATGAGAACGACAACTCGCCAGTATTCACAAACTCTACCTTCACGTTTTACCTGGACGAGAATGAGCCTCCAGACACATATGTAGGAAAACTAACAGCCGCAGACAAGGATAAAGGCAGGAACGCAGAGCTCACATATTCCATTGCTACAAATCAAAATGATTTTGTTGTTGATCCTAAGAGTGGTTTTCTGAAGACTTTACACTACTTTGACAGAGAACAGCTTGTTCAGACGATTGGTCTAGATTATATCACAATGGAAGCAGTAGTTCTAGACAATGGTATCACGCGCCTGAGGGACAAGGCCAAAGTCAACATCTACATCACCGACGTTAATGACAACCCACCCAGGTTCCTGAGGAAACCTTACAAAGCACAGGTACCCGAGGGGGCTTCCGTCAGCACGCAGGTGATCCGCATATCCGCCACGGATGCCGACGAAGGCCTCAACGGTGATGTTGTATATACCATCATTGACGGCAACGAGGAAGGTCGCTTCAAGGTGGATGAGACCACAGGTCAAGTGATACTAGCACGTCCTCTAGACCGGGAGTCAACACCTCGTTATCTACTGACGGTGGCAGCCGCCGACCTTGGGAGTCACATGGGTCTAACTGCCACTGCCACACTCACGGTTGACGTTCTTGATGAAAACGACAATGCTCCCGAATTTACACAGAGTGAATCAGAAATTTCGATTGTGGAAACGACACCTGTCAACACCGTACTAGTGCAGTTTCAAGCGTCAGATGCAGATTTGGGAGTGAACAAAGAAGTATCATTCATGATTGGAGGAGGGAACATGCAAGAAGCCTTCCGTATTGACACCAAGACCGGAACATTATACTTGGAGAGGTTGCTGGACTTTGAGAAACAAAGTCTGTATAAGCTAAATATAACAGCAGCAGACGGAGGTTCTCCTCGTCTAACGTCAACTATCTCGTTCGTGGTTCACGTGCTGGATTACAATGATAACCCACCATCCTTCCCTAATACAGCGATCTGGCGACGGATAGAGGAAGGTATTGCACCCAACACACCCATTGTAACTGTCACAGCTGAAGATCCTGATTCTGGCGAAAATGGAAAAATTAAATACACTATCAAAAGTCAAGAGCCACCCGGTATGCACTTTTCTATCGACGAAAACACTGGGAATGTATCAACACTGAAGGACATTGATCGCGAGTTTTCCGATACCTTTCGCCTCACTGTAGTGGCGACTGATCAAGCAGAAGCAAAGTCAGCACGCAGGTCGGCCGAGAAGCTGGTGACTGTCATCGTGGAAGACATGAACGATAACGCCCCTCGCTTCGTCTCCATGAACGCTGGCATCCTGAAGGAGAGCTCTCCTGCAGGGACGGAGATCATGCGTGTATCAGCACGGGACCTGGATGCTAATACAAACGGTTTAGTAACATACGACCTGGTGGCCGGAGACAAGGATATCTTCCACTTGGATCGTATAACCGGGTCACTTTCTGTGCTGCAGGAGGTGACAAGCCCACAGATATTGTATCGAGTTACGGTTCGTGCTACTGACGAAGCTGTGCAGTCCCAACGGAAGTCTTCTGACGCTTATCTGACCATCCTCAGCGCTTCGTCCCAGGAGGGACCAAAATTCACTCAGAGTTCGTACTCTGGATCAGTACTCGAGAGCTCGAGTATCGGCACTTCCGTCTCGACAGTGAGTGCCCGCCTGGGCTCTAACGCGCTCACGGATATAGCTTACTACGTGGTGAATGTAACAGGGGCTGACGGTGAGCCCATGGACCGTATGTTCACCATGCAGCAACAGGGAGTAGTGGTCACGGCTGCCGTGCTTGACCGTGAAGATGGTCCCAACAACTATGTGATCACCGTGGCAGCAGTGGTCACACAGGGACTTACACCAAGACTCTCCACCACTCAGGTGAGTCACAAACTTACACTCAACTCACCAACTCTTGAAATAAGAAAGTCAAATTGGTTTGCGTGTACATAACATAAATATTGACTGTGGTCTTGAAGAGACATTACGAGCATATAAACAAATACATTATCTAGATCACCCTAGAATAAAACTAGAAACTTGTGCTTTTGTGCTTATATATATAATTAGGAAAAGCAAGTGAAAGTTTTAAGATCAAGTGCTTTCTGTCTCTAACGTGTTATGTCACGTGTTGTATCACGTGTTGTGTCACGTTGTGTCACGTATTTCTTCACAATTTGGAAAATATAAAGGAAATTTTTTTCGTACTGGGGAAAAAAAGGGGTTGTTGATGACGAGGCTTTCTGGTGTGTGGTGGTTGTGACGTGGTGGTGGTGTATGTGTGGTGGTTGTGACGTGGTGGTGGTGTATGTGTGGTGGTTGTGACGTGGTGGTGGTGTATGTGTGGTGGTTGTGACGTGGTGGTGGTGTATGTGTGGTGGTTGTGACGTGGTGGTGGTGTATGTTTGGTGGTTGTGACGTGGTGGTGGTGTATGTGTGGTGGTTGTGACGTGGTGGTGGTTGTGACGTGATGGTGGTGTATGTGTGGTGGTTGTGACGTGATGGTGGTGTATGTGTGGTGGTTGTGACGTGGTGGTGGTGTATGTGTGGTGGTTGTGACGTGGTGGTGGTTGTGACGTGGTGGTGGTGTATGTGTGGTGGTTGTGACGTGGTGGTGGTGTATGTGTGGTGGTTGTGTGACGTGGTGGTGGTGTATGTGTGGTGGTTGTGACGTGGTGGTGGTTGTGACGTGATGGTGGTGTATGTGTGGTGGTTGTGACGTGATGGTGGTGTATGTGTGGTGGTTGTGACGTGGTGGTGGTGTATGTGTGGTGGTTGTGACGTGGTGGTGGTGTATGTGTGGTGGTTGTGACGTGGTGGTGGTGTATGTGTGGTGGTTGTGACGTGATGGTGGTGTATGTGTGGTGGTTGTGACGTGATGGTGGTGTATGTGTGGTGGTTGTGACGTGGTGGTGGTGTATGTGTGGTGGTTGTGACGTGGTGGTGGTGTATGTGTGGTGGTTGCGACGTGGTGGTGGTGTATGTGTGGTGATTGTGACGTGGTGGTGGTTGTGACGTGATGGTGGTGGTTGTGACGTGGTGGTGGTGTATGTGTGGTGGTTGTGACGTGGTGGTGGTGTATGTGTGGTGGTTGTGACGTGGTGGTGGTGTATGTGTGGTGGTTGTGACGTGGTGGTGGTGTATGTGTGGTGGTTGTGACGTGGTGGTGGTGTATGTTTGGTGGTTGTGACGTGGTGGTGGTGTATGTGTGGTGGTTGTGACGTGGTGGTGGTTGTGACGTGATGGTGGTGTATGTGTGGTGGTTGTGACGTGATGGTGGTGTATGTGTGGTGGTTGTGACGTGGTGGTGGTGTATGTGTGGTGGTTGTGACGTGGTGGTGGTGTATGTGTGGTGGTTGTGACGTGGTGGTGGTGTATGTGTGGTGGTTGTGACGTGGTGGTGGTGTATGTGTGGTGGTTTGTGACGTGGTGGTGGTGTATGTGTGGTGGTTGTGACGTGGTGGTGGTGTATGTGTGGTGGTTGTGACGTGGTGGTGGTTGTGACGTGATGGTGGTGTAGTGTGGTGGTTGTGACGTGTGGTGGTGGTGTATGGTGGTGTGTGTGGTGCGTGGTATGTGGTGTGTAGTGTGGTGGTGGTGACGTGGTGGTGGTGTATGTGTGGTGATTGTGACGTGGTGGTGGTGGTTGTGACGTGATGGTGGTGGTTGTGACGTGGTGGTGGTGTATGTGTGGTGGTTGTGACGTGGTGGTGGTGTATGTGTGGTGATTGTGACGTGGTGGTGGTTGTGACGTGATGGTGGTGGTTGTGACGTGGTGGTGGTGTATGTGTGGTGGTTGTGACGTGGTGGTGGTTGTGAGTGATGGTTGGTGTATGTGTGGTGGTTGTGACGTGAGTGGTGGTGTGATGTGTGGTGGTTGTGAGTGTGTGGTGGTGTAGTGGTGGTGGTTGTGACGTGGTGGTGGTGTATGTGTGGTGGTTGTGACGTGGTGGTGGTGTATGTGTGGTGGTTGTGACGTGGTGGTGGTGTATGTGTGGTGGTTGTGACGTGGTGGTGGTTGTGACGTGGTGGTGGTGTAATGTGTGGTGGTTGTGACGTGATGGTGGTGTATGTGTGGTGGTTGTGACGTGGTGGTGGTGTATGTGTGGTGGTTGTGACGTGGTGTGGTGGTGTATGTGTGGTGGTTGTGACGTGGTGGTGGTGTATGTGTGGTGTTGTGACGTGGTGGTGGTGTGACGTGTGGTGGTGGTTGTGAGTGGTGGTGGTGTATGTGTGGTGGTTGTGACGTGGTGGTGGTGTATGTGTGGTGATTGTGACGTGGTGGTGGTTGTGACGTGATGGTGGTGGTTGTGACGTGGTGGTGGTGTATGTGTGGTGGTTGTGAGTGGTGGTGGTTGTGACGTGTGGTGGTGTATGTGTGGTGGTTGTGACGTGATGGTGGTGTATGTGTGGTGGTTGTGACGTGTGGTGGTGGTAGTATGTGTGGTGGTTGTGACGTGGTGGTGGTGTATGTGTGGTGGTTGTGACGTGGTGGTGGTGTATGTGTGGTGGTTGTGACGTGGTGGTGGTGTATGTGTGGTGGTTGTGACGTGGTGGTGGTGTATGTGTGGTGGTTGTGACGTGGTGGTGGTGTTGTGTGGTGGTTGTGACGTGGTGGTGGTGTATGTGGTGGTGGTTGTGACGTGGTGGTGGTGTATGTGTGGTGGTTGTGACGTGGTGGTGGTTGTAGTGTGGTGGTGTGAGTGGTGGTGGTTGTGACGTGATGGTGGTGTATGTGTGGTGGTTGTGACGTGGTGGTGGTGTATGTGTGGTGGTTGTGACGTGGTGGTGGTGTATGTGTGTGGTTGTGACGTGGTGGTGGTGTATGTGTGGTGGTTGTGACGTGGTGGTGGTGTATGTGTGGTGGTTGTGACGTGGTGGTGGTGTATGTGTGGTGGTTGTGACGTGGTGGTGGTGTATGTGTGGTGGTTGTGACGTGGTGGTGGTGTATGTGTGGTGGTTGTGACGTGGTGGTGGTGTATGTGTGGTGGTTGGTGACGTGTGGTGGTGGTGTATGTGTGGTGGTGGTGTAGTGTGGTGGATGGTGGTGTTGACGTGGTGGTGGTGTATGTATGTGTGGTGTGTATGTGTGGTGGTTGTGACGTGGTGGTGGTGTATGTGGTGGTTGTGACGTGGTGGTGGTGTATGTGTGGTGGTTGTGACGTGGTGTGGTGTATGTGTGCGTGGTGGTGGTGTATGTTGTGGTGGTTGTGACGTGGTGGTGGTGTATGTGTGGTGGTTGTGACGTGGTGGTGGTGTATGTGTGGTGGTTGTGACGTGGTGTGGTGTATGTGTGGTGATTGTGACGTGGTGGTGGTGTATGTGTGGTGGTTGTGACGTGGTGGTGGTGTATGTGTGGTGGTTGTGACGTTGTGGTGGTGTATGTGTGGTGGTTGTGACGTGGTGGTGGTGTATGTGTGGTGGTTGTGACGTTGTGGTGGTGTATGTGTGGTGGTTGTGACGTGGTGGTGGTTGTTATGTGTGGTGTGTTGTGACGTTGGTGGTGGTGTATGTGTGGTGGTTGTGACGTAGTGGTGGTGTTAGTGTTGGTGGGTGTGACGTGGTGGTGGTGTATGTGTGGTGGTTGTGACGTGGTGGTGGTGTATGTGTGGTGGTTGTGATCGTGGTGGTGGTGTATGTGTGGTGGTTGTGACGTGTTGGTATGGCTGTATTGTTGGTGTGTTACTGGAGTGGTTGTTGTTGTGTTTGATGTTTGGTAGTTGTTGGTTGTGTTTACAGTGGTGTGTAGTGTATGTTGTGTGTTGTGGAGTTGTTGTTGTTGTTGTGTTTATGCTGGTAGTGTGTTATTGTGTTTATGTTAGTAGTATTTCATTGTTGTTGGTTGGTGCTGGAAAGTCTGTTGACCATCATGGATGTTGATACAGTGTTCTCTTACAGTTCCCACAGCGCCCCTGTCCTTCACCGGGTTTACTTTACATATCCCCCCCCCCCCACATCTTTCCCTCCTATATGTTGTTATGGCAGTGTTCAACCAAAGTCCTCGCCTCAATAAGGCTACCTGGCAGTTTCTTCTACTCATCTACAACCAGTACTCCCCAGATATCCTTTTTAAATCTAAATTTCTCCAGCTTGAGCCCATTCCTGCGAGTCCTATCCTGATTAAGTATTTTCGACATGCTATTTACATTTTGTCTTCCATATTTCTAGGTCTTCGTTACGGAGGCCTATATATATTATATATATATATATTAATATATATATATTATATTAATATATTATATATATGTTATATATATATTTATATGGATTTATGAAGGATGAGGTTAATATAGAATTGATGAAGGAAAAAAGGTGAGTGGTGCGTTGAGGTATATGTGGAGACAAAAAAACATTATCTATGGAGGCAAAGAAGGGAATGTCTGAAAGTATAGTAGTACCAACACTCTTAAATGGGTGTGAAGCTTGGGTGGTAAATGCAGCAGCGAGGAGATGGCTGGAGGCAGTGGAGATGTCCTGTCTAAGGGCAATGTGTGGTGTAAATATTATGCAGAGAATTCAGAGTATTGAAATTAGGAGAAGGTGTGGAGTTAATAAAAGTATTAGTCAGAGGGCAGAAGAGGGGTTGTTGCGGTGGTTTGGTCATTTAGAGAGAATGGATCAAAGTAGAATGACATGGAGAGCATATAAATCTGTAGGGGAAGGAAGGCGGGGTAGGGGTCGTCCTCGAAGAGGTTGGAAGGAAGGGGTAAAGGAGGTTTTGTGGGCGAGGGGCTTGGACTTCCAGCAAGCGTACGTGAGCGTGTTCGATAGGAGTGAATGGAGACGAATGGCATTTGGGACCTGACGAGCTGTTGGAGTGTGAGCAGGGTAATATTTAGTGAAGGGATTCAGGGAAACCGGTTATTTTTATATAGCTGGACTTGAGTCCTGGAAATGGGAAGTACAATGCCTGCACTTTAAAGGAGGGGTTTGGGATATTGGCAGTTTGGAGGGATATGTTGTGTATCTTTATACGTATATGCTTCTAA